TTCCCTGGCTCCTCAAGGAATCCCGTTAGAACGGATGTGGCATGAGTCAAAAGTCTTCTCAGAATCGACGAACCCGAGGCATGGAGGAAGCTGATGTTCGTTGTTTGTCTGAATTATTTGTTGCATTATCTGGGGGGATGATCCATCGTACTAAGCCAACTTCTGAATTCTGCTGACTCCTTTGAATCTGCCATGTCCAGTTTTCGTGAAGATCATGCAGATGATCGGCAACAAACTTATCCACCTGTAATTCTTTAGAGCATCCATGTCTCCTTTTCTGCAGAGTAGAATCATGGACCTAGTAGTTCAATCGCTTAAAATTTTCAGTTCCCTCAGACAGCATGAAGACAAGCGCACTTATTTCTTCGTCAATACTTCACCTCATGATTCCCCGAGTCCACTGTAATGCCGTCTTCGGCAGAAGCCCTGACATGGCAGGCAGCCGCCAGGAAGTCGTTGAACAAGGAGACAAGATCTCGTTAGAACTGACATGACATTGAAAGAACATAAGAGTGAGCAAGAATTTATTCGATCCAGCCTGACAGCATGTACGGCACGCGGTAACGTCTTCGATGCAATGCGACGAGATAAAACAAAACCGAAGGAAATCAGACATGAAACATCCCGTGAAAACTTTTCCCAAAGAGTATAACGTAGTTGTTACAATTAGTCAAGGAAACGCATTTCAACCGTTAACGTTACTTCCGGATCATAAACAAAAAAAATACAATCGCAGCTTGATGATGCGATAGCGCATTGATGAGCTAGGTTATGACATGCTAAAGTTGGAAGTTATGACGTCATAAACAAAACATGGTTAAAATAACTATGAACATGCATCACGACGTGATCATGCCACGAATAGCTCGATTTTCTTACCCTCCTTCCCTTTCAAAGCTACTACAGCTTGCCTCAACCCGCAAACAGTCACTATACCCATTCTTTTATTTCCCAGAAAAGCAGTTTCACAGATTCCAGAAGTTAATGCCTTGTCCTAAAGTTTGGAAGATTGGGTAACCAGTTAGCTAGTTCTTGTGTTGTTTAAGATTTCAGCGGACCTCGAAAACAGCAATCATCGATGTGGAGATATTCAAATAGGGGATGGCCGTTATAAAATAGGTAGCATCAGTTCTTAGAGAAACAATTAAGGACGACTTGAAAAACAAAAATATGGTTCTCCGTGCTACTGACAAAGCGACAAGCCGATTACCAAGGAAAACGTACTTATTACTTATCTCTGTTGTCATGCAAATCCATCAATACGCAATCTGAGAAAACAGAAGATTCAGAGCAGAAAAGTTTATAATAGATCACAAAAAACTCGACTTATCTAGCACAAAAATGCCGAATGAAATGCATACAACAGATGTTTTGCTGCGATTTCAAGTGAAAACAGTGAAAGTGACGAAAATAAATACCCGCCAAAATCTCCGTTGGAAAAAAGAAAATACTAACATCCAGTTTGCAATAAGACATGAAAATTCACGGTAAGATCAATGTAAAACGGAATGCACAAAGTAGCAAATGTAAAGTATGCATGATTTCTAACCTGCACGGTACATATACACGGTACATAAGATGGTGAAAGTCAATAAGCTATCACTGCAATGTGTTGTTTCACAAAAGCCATCGAAAGAACAAATATACAGTGTAAACAGAGGACAAATGATTCAAACATCACAAGGTAAAACGCCTCAACGCGAAACTTTAAGTAGCTTATTAACAAAGTATACAAAAAAGACGGCCTAAAAAGATTTGGTCACAAAAATAAACACTGATAAACAATAACCATGAAAAAATTAAAACAGGGCGCTGCTTTAGTGCAAGATTCTGCATCCAGTTTACCGTACTTCAAATTCAGAACTGCAACGTATGTAGTAGCAAGCGCATCGGCGGTGTTTCCAGTCAAAAATCGAAGTTATAAAAAAGTTTTATTGAACAAAGATTGGGGAAGATTGATTGTTAAAGCTGTCGTCCTTTCGCGGCTAAAGTAAATTTACTGAGACCAAAGAAAACGCGCATATAAAGTCTTACTTCGCCCATTTTATGCTTTGCATATTCGATTCTTATACCACCGCGATCAGAAGATAACAACACAAATCCTTGCAGAGTAGTCATAGCTTGAGTAGCCTGGCAAAGATCCTACAAACGGTTCACATGCATTCAATAGGTAACTTTTAAATGTATTATACCTCTAGATTTCTAATTTTATATCGCACTTTTTAATTAAGAAAAAATTTCTACGGAATTAATCGATGGCATAAGCGGTTTACCCTATGAAAAATTTGCTGTTCAAGTTATTAAACTTCTGGAACCTGAAACCTGTCTCCTTTTATATCTGCCACAATAACAATGAAAGATACTGCGATAGTATATTAAGAAAACAATCGCGTAACACAAGGAATAAAACTAATGCGTTCCAACGAAACATGCTGAAACAGAACAAAAATGGGTGAAAGAAAACAATACCCAAAATATGAAACATAAAGTGGAACGACTCTTGGGGACAAAGGAAGAAATAGTTAACAGTTAGACATTAGAAAGAATATTATTAGAAGTAAGATTCGACCTGTGTGAAAAACCCTGAAATTTTTTTTTATTGACACATGCTGCACTACTGGTTTTGATGACAGCGGATTAGAGTACCATGAAAGCGTCTTCAGTGCAGTAGATCAGGCAGGTCGGAGTCAGAATTTTTGACCTCGCTGCTGGTAGAGAAACTGCATAAATAAAACACGTTTCCTATAGAACAGTCCCACCCGATAATCCTAGATCCTTAGAAAATTGTCCTAGCTTGAAAGACTTGGAAAACCCGTTTAAAAATGGGCTGGAAGAGGAGTTTCTCCTGCCACCAAAATCTGCTTGTACATTGACTCAGTCAAGTCACTGTTGTTGTACGGCATACAGACAGTTTTTCTAAAGAAAGAACACGAACAACTGTTGAATGACAGGATCAAGGAAGGAATGACTCAGTTCTCTGCCGGCACTCGATGAAGTATGCATGAAAACCAAGAAAAGAAAGTTGATCTCATTAAACAAACTAATTGAGCATAAAACATTTATTCCAGCCCATGGATACTTTTCTTACGGGAACCGCAGTCAACTAGGAGGCCAACATGCGACATAGTGGAACGAGCCAGAGGTTAATCTGTTTTCAGAGAGATAATTTCATTTACAATGCCCTATAGCAAAGTGCTGAAAAGGTGCTTATAGCGGACATCACAAACCAGAAGCGTTCTGCTTGTGCAAATACCTCAAAGTAATGATCTCCACAAAGAAGATTCTTAGAGAGCTATTTAAGTACGTCACGGATTAATGGTGTTAACTTGTAGCATGCAGAGACATTTATCGTCGCTATTTTCAAAATGATTTGGCTTCACTAAAAATTAAAATAATTTCTACTAAGAAGGCCGTCACCCAAGAAAATGTACAGCGAATCCTGCCTAGCATCGGTTACTGTTTAACCTCCAGATCTTATGGATAAGTAAAACTCCATAAGTTGGCAACTTTGCGTGTTATCATACCGGCTAGGGGAACAGACTGCCAAAGAGCTGGATCGATTAATGAAACCTGCCGCTAATACGATGACTTGCAGTGTAAAAGACAGAAAGGAGCCTCCATGCAGACTCAAGGAATATGATCATCAAGATTGCTTGACGGCTTCGTTAGACGTCACTACCCACTTCAGTAATGTGAATACTAAGGTTAATGTTCTACAACATCTTGGAGAATACGATGGACAAGCGGAGGGCATCAGAAAGCGTGCTAAGAAATTGCAGCGTGAATGACTTAATGTCAATCTTCGGCCTTGTGGTGAATGGCAGCAGTTTCAAATTCGGGAAAAACAACTACCATCAGATGCAGAGCGTTCAGATGGGCTCCTCTGTGAGTGTTGTTTTAGCTGATCTTTATATGAACCAACTGGAGGTGAAAGCCCTTAAGGAATGTCCGAAAGAATTTCAACTACTGTTCCAAGACCGAATCGCTTATGACATTTCCCATTATTCCAACGAAATGAGAAAGAATGGAAAAAGTTGGAATGTTTCGTGAATCAAATGAATGGACAAGATAAAAATGGCCGAATACGCTTCACTACTGAGGTGGAAGTTATCCACTCAACATCCTTTCTGGACGTGCTGGTGAAGAGGACGACATCGTTTGAATATGAGGTTTCCTTATATCGGAAACAAACACACTCTAAACGATACCTACAACCGGCGTCATGTGTTCCTCCTCTGTTATTTAGCTATGTGCTGAAGAACATGCGTTTGTGAGTCCAAGAGACCTGCACTAAAACTTCGTGCCTAAACGCAGAAATCCAACATCTTCAGCAAGCGTTTTCAAACAACGGTTACCGAAGGAGAATCCTTGACAAAGAACTTTTGTACTCTAGCTCAAATTTAACGTTGGTCGGTTCATACTGACCAATGGTATTTCAACGTATCATGAGGTGCCTTGGTAACATGGGGCTTACGGTCTACTGCAAGACTGGCAGAACAATGGACGACATTTAATATTAAAAGTACATGCCCATTAATAAACCGAAAGATGTGTTAAATGTTGTACACAAAGTCCAATGCAGAGATTGCGACAAGGTGTACATTGAAAGGACCAACCGGAAATTGAACATCCGAATAAAAGGGCACCTTTCTTTAGTCCACCTTCGCAAGCTGACAATTCTGGTAGTTCCCAACATGCAATTACTGAAGGGCATTCTTTCAGTCAGATCAGTGTGTCTGTTATAGACAAAGACCAATCTAAATTAGACTGTTAAAGGAGTCCTTGCACTTACTGGCAATGAAAAACCGGATGTATAAGGAATACACATATTCTCTGGTTATTAACGAAAGCTGGAGACGACGGAAAAATTGATACGAAAAATCGGTTTAACACAACAATGATTCAATTGTTTTAATGTGAACTTCACACTGTTTGTTTGTCAAAATTCAGGCCATTCAATTTAATAAAATTTTGATTATAAAGTATTGTTCGTTTGTTTGACATAAGTGCCTTCAAGCAGTCATTTGTACTTAGACTTGTCGTGATGATGCCACGAACTATGTAATGAAATGCGTTGGTAATAACGGTTTAACCATCTACTTTCTTAGGTGTCCTGAACCATGGATCGTTCAAACACGTATCTATATAACGATGGACCCAGAATCGAAAACCTTAAGTATTATTTATTAATCTCAGCTAAGTTTGTGGTTTCTATGTATCTATCGTCATGCCTTATGTGTGCGTTACGCCTGTCAATTCACGTGCAGAGGAGTGCGTGTACATCAATTCTGTGCCCATTTTCGCATTTTGACTATTACAATGGCTGCCTACCTTCGACATGGACAACGAATCGAAATGACTTACAAAGTATTCGATGAAAGCCACTGGGGATCCGTTTTTATTATGCATACGAAGGCGACAAAATCCGGGGAAGCTTCCAAATATCTCGCGTAACTCCTGTTCATTAACTGTTGGTCCAAGATTAGCGACGAAAAGCGTTGTGCACGGTTGGTTGGCAGCAGAGGATTGCATGGGCGCAGCAGACGTTACACCAGCGGCGGTTGATATCACCGTTGGCAGGGAAGCGGCAGTCAGAATCGTTGGGATATGACCTGCCAAAGAACCCAAAGAAAAATTTGGCTGAAATGCAAAAAAATGACCCAGAAAATTAATTGAAACTGATTTTGCAAATAAAACGTACTCAAAACATTGGCGACAATACAGCTTTACAACTACAAAGTGCGCAAGCTGTAAACA